AAACATAAGTATTATTAATGCATGATTTCCCAAATAGCATAAAATTGTAAATATACGAATAGGTATAGGTAATAATAATCAAATTTTTTGGAATGTTAATTAGAGACTTTGTCTTTGAAAATTGCGTGGAATTTTGCTAAACTGAGCCAAAAGTCACTAAAATTAGGGCATTTTTTATTCCTATGCTCCTGTCAAATACTTTAGTACATTTTTCTCGCAGTTTATTTTGTTTTAGTTAGGAAGCTTTGTAAAATTTCTGTTCTGTTTGGAAATATCAAATGAAGAAGTAATACTAAAAAAATATTTTATAATTTCTTTATTTTTTGGCAAAGACAAAATTTCTTTTCTTGTAAAATGTTCAATTATCTGGATTACCCCACTGACTCCATTCCCCGTTATACGGTGGTGGTCCATGATGTGGTGGAAAAGGGGGGCCAGCGGACCTCAGGTCTAAAAATAAACCCCATGTATATTAAAAAAAAACAAACTCTGATAAAAATGTACATCTTTTTGTTGCAAAACTTGCTGCGACAAGTGAGAACAAAAACAACACAATTCCAAAGAACTTCATCTTGTTTTGATTACTTTCATGTTTTTGAAACGGCTTTTATATGAAACTCAGTAATCAAACAATTATGGCACAATTGAATCTTAAAAACCGTAAAAATCAGTCATAATAGCAAATTTTCAAAAGCATAAAATCTGAAATGATTATAAAACTTTTCATACCAAATTAAAGTAGAAAAAACATTTTTTTCTTGTTTTGTTCGGGACGATGAAGTTTTAAACAAATAGCAAGTGAAGAAATCGAAGAACTTTTTGGTTTTCCAATAAAACTTTTATAACTACTTTAATATTTTAAAATCAAAGTATAATATTATAATAAAAACAAACTTTTTCAAAAGCATAAAAGTGTGAATAATAAGAAAAAACAATATAAATGGAATTTTAAAAAACGTAAAAAAACTGTCCTGAAAACAATGAAATAATAATAAAACACTGAATGCATATTACATTAATTTTAATCAAAAAACTAAAATTGTTTTTTGAAATGTTAATTAGAAACTTTGTCTTTAAAACTTGCGAGATTTTGCTAATTGAGCCAAAAATCTCTTTTTTTTCAGCCACAAACGCAATTAATTCAAAAATTTGATTGAAAATGGTATTATTTGTGTCTTTTAAGCTTTAAAAAAACGTTTTTTGATTTTTTCCCAAATTGGACCAAAAAATCACTAAATTAGGGTAAAAATTAAACTATTTTTATTCCATTCTCAACGTAATATTTCCGTTCTGTTTGGGGACTGAAAAACAAAGAAATTTCAAATGAAGAAGTAGAAGAACTTTTTGTTCTCCAGTAATACTAAGAAAAGTTTTAAAATTGCTTTATTTTTTGGCCTTTACAATATTTCTTTTCTTGTAAAATGTTTAAGAATAAGGTGCACGATTCCATTGATCCCATTCGCTGTAATAGGGTGGTATAAAAACTGGTGGTGGTGGTTTCTTTCTTGAGAAATGAGACTCGTCTGACTCTAGATCTAAAAACAAAAACCAGAAATACTAAAAAAGCACTAATAAAAATTTACGTTCAAGAGCAGTTGCAAAATTTGCAGCGACAAGTGAGAATAAAAATAACATAATTCTCAAAAACTTCATGTTGTGATTACTTTCACTATTGTTGGATTTCGTTTTTGAATTGGCATTTATATGAAAATCAGTAATTAAATAATTGTGGTACAATTGAATCTTAAAAACCGTAAAAATAAATCATAACAGTGACTTTTCAAAAGCATAAAATTTTAAATAATAATAAAATTTATGAAACTATGTTAAAGCTAACTTTATTTAATTTTTTTAGAAATATAAAATGACAAGAAAATATCAAATAAAAAAATAGAAGATTATTTTTTGTTTTCCAATAATAACACTAGGTACTTTATTTTTTGTTTTTCATAAGCATTCGACATTTTACACTACTAACTGCACTAGTTAAATTAATAAACATTTTAGAAAGTTCCGATACTGACGTTTGTTTCTTTATAAGCGTTGCTATGATTTTATAAATTGTAAAGCGTCCTGATTATTTTGTTCATTTACTTGCTAATTAAGTGTTGCTGTCTTTACTCTCAATACGTTTGAAGATAAAATAGTAAGCATATCACTTTTAGTCTTAATAACATACATAATAAACTTTTTAAATAGCATAAAAGTGTAACTAATGATAAATTAAG